CTCAATGAGAGAATAATAGGCTGTGTGAAGATATATACACATGTGCAGAAAATGATGCACATGGAATATATTTATATACAATATATGTGTGGATATGGGTAAATATAGTATTTATGTACATACAATATCATTCTATGTAATTTTGAACAAAGATAAAAGGAAAACAATTTTTCCTTTCCTCAAATTGATGATCATCATTCAAAGTCAATGTTTTTGAAATTATCCTGTCTTAAATGCATGATTCAGCTGTCTTCAGGATTCCTCCCTGTTACTTGATTAGTGTCTCTTCTAAACTAAAAATTAGAATACTCCTCTTTTAAATAAAGCACCCCATAAGTGCACACATCACCTGATGAGAATGCCATGAGAAATATTCAGGGGTACTAATATTGTAATGTGTAAACATATTAGGATAGGTGTCAGAAAATTGATCAGATCTATTTCCCAGCTAACAGAAAAAATACATGTGATGTCACTTAGTTATGTACCAGCTAATGTCAGGCAGATGGATATAAATATATAGCCATTCTCAATAGAACTCTACCTGCAGGAATAAATTCTAAAGTAATTATTAAGGATTCAGTAGCAAGATATTTTTTCTCATTTCTTCTATATATTTAGAATTTCTCCTTATTTATTAACAATAAATACCTAAAATAATATTTGTAAACTTCTCCTGAAATTTCTTATTAAAAGAATGGCAATTATAAAAATATCATAGCCTGTTTATTTGCTAGGCTCCAAAGTACACCATCGCATTTGTGCACCAAATACGTTATGTGTATTAAGTTATAATTTTAATTTTTATAGCAATCAGGAAATAAGCTTAGCATTTTACAGTTTCTATTATACAGATGAAAAACTTTAGATTAAACAGATACAGCTATTTATCCTCAAGAAACGCATAGAGCCAGAATTAAACAGATTCAACTCCAGGTCTATTTGGCCACAAAGTATAATTCAGTGATTAGTTTATGTGGAAAATTTTACTTATAAACTTTTATAACTATCATTTAGGTAGAAGCAAAGGAACATGTATTTCATTGTGGTGACATCATTGATAAATTTTATATTAACTTTTATAAATGTAAAGTTAACTTTGATTATCTGTATAGAATTAGAGATTCAGTGATCTTAGATTATGGAGCACTAGTATAACAGACATAACCATTTTATTTAATGCATGATATATTTATTATCTATGTTATTTTTTAAAATTAGTAAGATTTACCTTTTATGAATTGGATCATCATCACAAAATCTTTCTCTTTCAATTTCCCATCTTTGACAAAATCAATATATAAAAAAACCCCAAATTATCAAGTAGGCCCTTAATATCATCACCTATACACACATGCACCCTCATATACTATTCAAAATAAGCTAAACATAAACACAACTTCAATCCACATAATGCTGAAAAAACTTAGAAGAACTATTTTTTCCTCTCCTCTGATTGATGATCATCTCTCAAATCAATTTTTCTAAAATTATCCTATCTTAAATGCGTGATGTATCTGGCCTCAGTTCCTTTTTCTGTTGCTTGGATAAATAAACATGGTGACTGGTGTGCTTCTAAACTATATGTTAGATTATTCCTTTTAAAATAGAAAACCCCATAGGTTTCTGTGTTTTGCATCAGGTGCAGAGACTTCTGTTTTCATGTATAATAAAACACTGAGAAGCCTAAAACCCAGGACACATATAGCAAGAGGAATTTCTTTTTTTGTTGTTGTTATGTTGAAGAAAATAAAAAGTGAAGTAGAATGTGTGCTTTATGTTATTTTATAAATTCTGCCATTTGCAGTGGTAGAAGAAGCTATCATCAAAGTTAAATTATTAATTTATACAAACATTGAGATCTTGATATAGATTCATGAAAGTTTTGTATATTGCTTTGGTCTTTATCCTGTGTACATTATAACATACCTTTAAATAACTTTTCCTGAAGAGGAAACTTCACGCTCAGAGAATGTGTATATACTGACATAAAAGTGAAAAAACTCCTTTATCTTGTTAAATTTGCACAGCAAACACAGATCTGCATGTTATGTTCACATTTCAAATAATTGTTCTTGGCACTTCAGTTGCTACCTAAAACTTTTTATTCTTTCCTTCATTTAACTAATATGTACCAAACACACACGGTGTGTCAAGCACTGTTTATAATAAAGATTATAATTCTACTTCAGGAAGATATAAGAGTCAGAAGAAAACACAAAGGTTTTAGGCCCAACCACTGCTATTGTAAAGTAGATGTCTTCCATCTCTTCCATTTCCTCTTCCTTCTCCTCGTACTTTTTCCTCCTCTTCCTTTTCTCTTCTTTCACTGTTGCTGATTGAACCTGTGCTACGCAAGAGCTCTAGCACTGAGTTCTAGCCTCAGCTATATTACCAATTTAATTTTGAGACAGGGTCTTGCTAAGTTGCCAGTGCAGGACTCAGACTTCCAATCTTCATACCTGACTTCTGTAAATGCCTGGGATTAGAGGTATGGACTACTTTCCCCAGCTCTTTCTAGAATTTGAAAGCTGTTTACTGCTTTTCTCACGTGTTTTATTTTTAAAAAGTTATGTGCTTCTAAAATTATTTGATGTAGAATTGTATTTTATCCTTAGTGTTCTTTTTCTGTTCTTTGCTGACCTACCCCTTATAGGTTAATTTATTGTTTTAGACCATGACTTTTAGAGGCAGTAAATCCTTTTTTATTTGTAAATAATAATTATTTAGACATTGATAACAACATTAACAACTATTTCCTATATTTAAGTATTGAAAAAGTCACTTAGATTCTTAGGTATCTCATAGTCCTACCTGAAAATGAGATAAAACTAACACTGCAATTTTATTATTAAAAAGGTATTAAATTAATGTATATTTAAAGATTTATGGTTGATGCATTGTGGATTTTCAATAATATAGCTATTAATAGATAAATTACTCTGATATTTATACATAACTTTTTAAATACTGTGTTCAAGATGTAGTCAATCACGTGTTAGAGGTATTTATAGTGAATTGTTTTGCAATAGTAGAACTTCAAAAAGGCCTGCCGCATGGGCTCTATCTGGAACATGTTTATGTAATGAAATTTAAAAATATACTGGGACAGTATAAAATAAAAGAGTCAGTTCTGATGAAAGACTTGGAATTATTCAAATTAACTTATATTTTGAATTTCTGTCATGACAGCACAAATATCAATGCCTGTGTTTTATATAGCATTCCCAAAAAGGGAACACTATGTCTCAAAGTTTGATTAATGGTAATTTATTTCTAAATATTCAAATTTCGTATTCAGTGAGAATATAAGTCATGCTTCTGATTTAAAAATGTCATGTTTTGCATATATTTTTAGTCACAAAATATATTATAATATGTTATTTTTAGTGAGTTATTTCATACTGCTTTAAGTGTTCATATATTCTAAGTATATTTTGAATTAATTCTAATTTTCCAAAACACAGATGTTACTAAAATATTGAATATACAATGTAATTCTGAACACAGTAAATACAACATACCCAGATTTGAATGTCCTGTGAAGCAGTTCCTTTTATCCCATGATTGTGGAATAAATATGACCATATTTAAAAGCTACATAAAACGTTTCTGCATTTCCTGTTGAAAAAACCCTGAAGCTTAATCACCCTCTGAATTCAGAAGTTGATACTATAGCTTGAATTATTAGCTCCTTTAGCTTTCAAGTGAGTTTTTTTCTTTATTTTTCTGTAGACATAGCCAATTAAATTACTTCTCAGAATAATGAAAAATATGATAATAAACTTTAGGTCATTTCTTCTGCTTTGCAGACAAACAATGATAATCTATGGAAATGTGTTGAATATTTACTGTGTATTATACGAATCTAAAATTTATTTTTCACTTATTTTGTACATAACAATCCCATCCCTGAGGCCCACAGCACAGTAACCTAGTCTGTTGCTTCAGTCAAATTTTTGTTACTTTCGCCTTAACTGTCAATATCATCTTAACCATTTTATTACCTTAACACATAGTTAAAAGTGCTTTATTATTAATATTTAAGAAATATATACTCAAAATTTTAACGTGAGTATGCAATGTAACGTAAGCTGACGACACTGCCAACTGAACTGCTAGTCTTGTACACTTCTTTATAAAATTGGACATCTGTGTAGTTAGATTTATACAGTTTTTCCTGCCTTTCCAACCCGGAGGAATAAATAGCATCAAAATGATAATTCTCTTAATGTTATTTACTCTTGTTTAAACCTTTATCAAACACAATGCCTAGCCACTTTAAAACTTTACTTGCTTTTATCTGAGAATATCTGAGCTGCCTCACACATGCACACGGACAATGCCTTTATTAGTTTCCACTCAAGCCTCCTTAACTGAATGCCTCATCGATGCCTCTGTTCTTTATTTCTTCTGGGAATCTTTGCCCCTTTGTGTCTGGCACATTCTCCTCATACCAATCAAGCTGCTCCTTTTTAAGGCTTTGCAGATACCCTGTGCTTCTTGCAGTCTTCCGCACACTGACATACACACAAAAGGAATGCATTATGTTCTCCACAAAGGTAAAGAATACCCCACTCCTGTCCTCAATAATTGTTGACATCTGTTCAAAGCCACATTGCAGGAGCCAGTTGTCTGCTTTCCAAAGAACTCTGACCTGCATGTGGCAGTCTGGATCTGGGGAATTGTCTGAGACAGACACAATCCTGTCCTCTGTTCCCTTGCTTCTCATACTAACTCTATGAATTTTTTCTTCTCCAGCCAACATGCGCACTCCCCTACCAAGCATTATTTTTGAATTCTGTTACAATTCAGTACAAGTGTTGATACACACTATCCCGTATATAGAGTCTGTACACATTAGCACGTATTTAGTCTATGGCATATATGTGTCCACATATCTGTGCCTATGTGTATGTCTTAAAAGAACATGAACCTAGAACGGCTACATTTGGTTGGAATCAGAGATCTTTTACACTTTCACTTCTCTTTTTTTCCAGGTGACAATATGTGCCGAGTAAACAATGGGGGATGCAGCACCCTTTGCCTGGCTATTCCCGCAGGCCGAGTGTGTGCGTGTGCTGACAATCAGCTTCTGGATGAAAACGGGACAACTTGCACGTGTAAGCTTCTTGATCCCATCACTGTTATCTGGCTCTTTCTGAAAACTAGAAGCAGATGAAACCAAAGAAATCAAACTCAAGCTTGAAAAGGACATTGCAGTTAATTACGTAGATGCACTTTTTTATCTAGGCTGCAAATCATTAAAATAATCAGTTTCTAATATACACAAATACGTGACAGTGACAGACTTTGGCAGAATACCTTGTCACTGCGGCATACAGTTTAGTATAAAATTTTAAGAAATGCAGGCGACAGAGTCAAACGTTTCATGAAATTGTGAAGAACTTCAGCAGCAGCAGCTGCAAAGGGAAACATAGTTGTTGAGTAGGAAGAGGGAAATATTGAGGCACAGTAGAGTCCTAAAATAACTTTAAATGACCTAATAGGATCGACTGTCTATACATGGCACAAAGAGCAAGGGAAAAGATGAAAAAGAATCTTTCAAGAAACTTACATATTTTATCGAAGTAGGGAATCAATTAGATTGATTGACCTGGGCTAACGGCACTTTTATTAACTTTTGCTGATAACTTTTGCTTTATTGCATCTCATTATTCCAAAATGACTGTTGGAATTTCTTCTTTCTGCCACAAGTCGTGTCCCTTAGGCATAGTAAGACTAACAAAATTATGTGTGTATCGAGCACACTGTAGAAGTTTCTAAATGATGTAAGGTTGAACTGTGTGTTTGGGCTCTTCGAGAGACCACTGGACCCTAAGACTGATGGATGCACACGTGGGATCTGTGGAATTTACATATATGAAAAGGAGAGGGAGATTGGGTGGAACTGGCACACGCGAATATGGAGGCTGCTGGGCATGAGGACCCACAGCGAGCGGGCCTCAGACTCACCAGCAATGGGGCCGTGGCACAGTCCGGAGGTCAGCGGGGTTAGGAGTCAGGAATCACAGTCAGGACCCTGTGGAAACCAGGCCTCGGGCTATTTCATTGTGAAGACTGAGCTCTTCATGGCCTTGTTCCTCCTTACTTTCATTTTTTGATCACATCACAGCCGCAATAGGAACCTTTTAGAGACTGAGTGTCCAAGCTGTAACGCCAAACCCATTGATTTATCACAAAGTGGCGACACTGGGGTTAAATCTGAATGCTGAAGTTTTAGTTTAGGAAACAAAACAATTCACACATTAAAAGAAAAGCACAAAAGCGGCTTTCAGTGATAAACAGCGTCCTGTGGCGAGTACCACAGGTGCTCTACCGCGCACAACAGTGTCACGTATTTTACCCTTAATTCTTACTTTCTGTGGCTCTAACATCTTATCATGTGATTTGTTGTTCCTTGCAAATTTTTAATGACTGCTTTTTAAACCATTTATCTTATTTGCATTTTTTGTATTTGGTATTTGATGGAGATATTTACCCCTGTCTTTATTGTGTGTATTTACTTTTGTATTTTAACATACAACCTATATTTAATTTTTTATTATATCATCTTTAGGCACTTAGAATAATACTGTTAAATTTTAAACTTTTGTGATAGAATTTTGAATTCCAATAATTAGAGTCCAATAATTTGATCAAATAATTTGATTTGATTTTTCCTTTCTTATACTCTACTTTCTTCATATTTCTCCCTTTCACTCCTTCCTACTATGCTTTAAGATTTCTAAGAATATTATCTGAATCACTGCACAGATTCTTCTTTATATTGTAAATATATTTGGAATTGATAGCTAGCTAATCAGTTTTAAAATATTTTATGATAATTTTACACCTAGATCAAAAGTTCCCTAGTTGTATTTGAAACATGTCACCTTATATATGAATAATAGATCTCATGTAAATATTTTTTGGGCACAGGAACTTCTGTGGCCAGACACACAGGGAATCCTGTGTGAGCGTCCAAGGCCTCATCTTCCCTTTGCTCCGTCTCTGGACCTTCTGTCTGGAATAAGAGGAAGCACTGCCTTTATCTTCCTCTTTGCTAGGTGTAAAAAGGAGAATGTATGGTGTTCCTTCCATGCTGAACTGCAGGAACAAAGAATTTTCTTTCTTACCTCAAGATGGAGAGGCTTATTCAATTTCCCATGGCAAAACTAGGAAAGGACCTTCAGTGAATCTTTAAATCTATTCCCATTGGCTTGGAAAAAGAGATAAAATTCTCTTATAATAGTGTCAATAGGCTGATCAAGAGACCGAACTCTCAGGGATTTATGAGTTTTGTTATTGCTTTTGTCACTGTAGGTGATTAAGAGGAAGATGTATTCATAAGGTACTGAAATCTACGTGGAATTTTAGGTCTTTAAATTTTTAATTTGTTCTTTAATTTTAATTATTTGGTTCACAATTATGTAGATCATCAGCCTTCTAGTTTTGTTGTATTTCCTTTATTCTTATGATTATAGGCTAAAACACTCATGGGTAATGTTCAGGTTAGCATATCTCTATCACTAGATTTATAAAAAGATATGGCATGTTTTTATGTAGCATTATTGTGGAATGGAGGAAAAATGAGGGAGAATATTAAAATGAGCTCAGATATACTGAGATAAACAGAAATAGAAAAGTGAAGTAGATGTTGATAGAGCACTTGCCCCTATGCCCCCCACACAAAAAATAAAATAAAATAAAAGATCAGGGATGAGGAGAAGACAAAATAAAAAGAATTACAGTTATTTAAAACCAGAAAAAAATTCCTGCTAGGTTTCATCATCTCTTTAATTTTTTATGACTATTTATATACATTTCCTATTTCCATCTATATTTTGGTGAAAAAAGACACAGAGTTTTAGTAAAAATCAGTCACGTGTCCATTGTTTTTACTTCGCCTATGCTGCAAGTGGAAAGTAGCATGAAAGGGCCCTTGGGGGATGCGCCGACCCCCTAGCCCAAGCTCGGCATTATGAGAACAGGAGGAAGAATGGCATATGAGAAACACAGGCACCTATAGTTGTAACAGACACAGATAAAGTGCCATGTTTTGGATGTCACCAAGTCAAAGGCAAATGCTTTTCCTGATATCTATATAAAACCCTTAGACTCAAAGAATATCTTACCTGTTCCCTTATACACTTTCCGGCTATTCCTCTTTGTAGGTAGATGTTATCACTGCAGTCAAGATGTTTGGTCACTCTCATTTTAACAATATTTAGCTCTATTCACATATTATGGTAAGGAGAAGACCTCAGAGACATTTACTTGAGTGTTGCGCTTAATAGAAATAGCCCTGTCATGATATCCAAATCTTTAGATGAGTTTTTGGTATAGTTTTTTCTTAGCAGTGACTACCACTTTCTCTCTTTTTTGTACCCCTGGCTTTTCATGTAGCATTTTGTCTTATGGAGTCATTCTCTTGGCATAACTGCCAAACCAAACAAAAACAAAACATGTTCACTAGTTTCTCAGAAGTCAGAGATACAATATCTGTAAAGAAACTCTAGCCGAGCCCACTTAGAATGATTCAGAGTGACAGGCTTAACTGTGGGTGGGAAAAAACAAAGTAAAACAAAGCCAGAAAGAGATGAAGTATTTATGTCTAAATTACCTAAGATGCCATTGGGTATTTCTATGTAAATAAAAAAATTAAGTAACGTTGGCCCATAAGAAACGTTGTCCATGATGTTGAGTACAAAACTGATGTTACAAGATTTGTTATCATATTTGTACATAAATGATTATTGCTTTGGTGAGAGTTACAGGAAATTTTTCTAATACTATTTGTCTCTGCCTAGAACCCATAATTCATAGATGATGTAAGCTCCATGCAATGAAATGGAAACAAATGATAATTTTATCTATACTTTCAATGATAAACAATTTTAAATCACTGAACATAAATTCATTCTTATTTCAGAATGAGTATTGAGCTTAACTATCAAAAATTCTATTGTATCTTTGCTATAGTATGGAACTTGGCTAGTTTCCTTTGAAAACTTTTAAGAAAAGTCAACAAAAGCAGCATACTATCTCATGCTTCTGCAAAGACCCCAAAATGTGTTTAAATGCTTTCAGTTCATATTTACTTAATGAGAAAATATTTTAAGGATGTGTTAGATTTGGTCTGCAAATAACAAAACTGACATGCAGGAAAATTAGAAAATGAGTTTATAGCTGCACATTATGGGACCAAACAATATCCCTGTGCTACTAACCTCTCTTCAGTGCAAACTTTTCTGGACTCTAGCTTTAGTTCAACCTAGATTAGAGGCATGTGAAAGGAGTTTACTGGATTAACTATGCAATCTGAGTCAATCAAACAAAACAGAGAGAAGAGGAACGCTCATTGAGACGTGAACTTGCTGCTGTCTGTTATATCCACTGAACTGACATCAAGTAAACAAAAACCCACTGGCAGGTGATTAAGCCAGGCTGGACATCAAGGATTTTTCTATTTTTAAAAGGATTTATTCTTAATAAACTTGTAACATAAGGCTACCCCGTAAAAAGGCATGCCCCCAACTGAAAAACTTTGGTATCCTATATGATTGAATAAGATCAAATTCTACTGCCATGCTAAAGGTAAATCAAAGATAAGAGTAGATTGGACCCTTGTGAATTTTGTGAATATTGTCTGCTGTGGTCACATCCTCTCACAGGGTTGATGTCTCCTGAAGTATAATTACCTGGAGCTCACTATTTCTGAGAAGCATGTGTAAAATTAATTGACCAATTATTAAGTAAATATATTTTTGATACTTTCGTGAGAGAAACATAAAGTTAAAAATTAAAAATGAGGACATAGTGGTTCTAGCAAAAGTGATAGTCTTTTTTTTTATAAAGTAGTGTATCATTTTACCTAGAGCAAGGAATTAGCAATTTTTTTAAATGTTTCTTTAGTGGCATGAAAGAGAATACTGAACATACAAATGTTCCTTATGTGCAGAAGAGCAATTTGAACATTCCAAATATATTATTTAACTAAGGGACAGCACTGAAAAATTATGTGTCAGTAATACTGGGACCTTCATGACTGTATAAAACGCCAGATATATGTCTCTGTCAGAAACAGTGCTCCACTGTGTTGAGCCATTTATCTGTTCTC